TTAGTATGAACAAAAGCATTGAAATCCCATGGTTGAACTTTACCGGCACCGGCATAAGTTGACGGTTACGGCCATTATAAATCAGGATCGTACGACGAAAATCGGATGCAGTGTGAATCCAGCATTAGATCGACTCCCAGAAATGTCGCACCAAAATGGTGGAAGTGTACATAGTACACGATTTCAAACATGGTGGTTGGATGGTTCATCTTTTAAACTGTACTTACATGTCCCTTCGTGCACTTTCATTCACTAAACTTCTACACAAATAAACCCGTATTAAACTAAAGAACACATAAATTAAGCATCTGTACATATTTTTTTGTTTATGAATAAACTAATTACAATTAAAAAACGTTGATTTGTATACTTGGCAGCTTCATTTTCCCAAATAAAATACGTATATGTAAATGCATAAATTCGAAATGGCCGCGTTTCGCATCAAAATGGATGCGAGTTTGCGGTACTTTGTAAATCTAGTGACTTTACCATATATTATGGCTGTGTTCCAGAATTTACTGCCAGTACTATTGAAAATCTATAGTTTACGTTATGTGCAGTAGATTTTTAATACTGATCGTAAATTTTGGAACACTGCCATTATATTTATTATACAGGGTGTCCCGTAAAGATTCGAACAACGCTTAAGGAGAGATTCCTGAGATTATTAGGGAGTTTTTGCAATAACGTGAATCCAGATACGGTGAACGCTAAAGTCATGTTATCCTTTTCTTAATTAGTTAAGAAGAAGATAACCTGACTTTACCGTTCATCGTATCTGGATTCACGTCATTACAAAAATTCCCTATTTTGAGACGAAAATTCTAATACGAAAATGTCGAGGCTACAACAATTTTTTGAATTATAAGCTAACTTTAAATGCTTATAAGTAGAAAACCATTTTACTTCTATAGCCTCTATTATTATTTCTGGATTCTTTTGAACATTCTAAGATGAAAATCCTAATACGAAAATATCGAAGCTATAATAGTTTTCGAATTGCACACTATCTTTAACCAATTATAATTTAAAAGTTATTATAGTCTCAACATTTTGGTATTAGAATTTTCGTTTCAAAATCTCAGGAATCTCCTTTTAAGTGTTGTTCGGGTTTTTACGGGACACCCTGTATATTCATATTATATATTCGGCCGAGTAATGAACAATTAATAAATTAAAAATTTGCCAGTAGAATAAGTGCGACATGTTTAGACCGGAATCAGACTACGCATTGAAGATTGAGATTGAAGATTGAAATTTGACCAATAAGGACAAAGAAATTTTAGCTCCTTTCGTTTCGATTGGTCAAATCTGAATTTTACAATCTTCAATCTCAATCTTCAATGCGTAGTCTGATTCCGGCCTATAACCAATAAGCTGTAGCGATCGAGGCTCGATTCTCGATTCAACGCTCTCGCAAGTTCGTGGCACAACCGGGCAAACTTCGCGCGGTATCTCCTGTCTGTGTCTTTTCCTGGACTTGACCTTCTTGTTAGATTGTGGTGACTAGTACTTTCAATGGTGCTCCGGTGTTAATTCAATTTTGAGCGTTGCCTCCTCAGCGGAAAGGACAGACTAAAAGATGGCTGTGGCTGCTAGGTCATTTTCAAAATTCGCTGGTGGGTCTTCGCAGCGTATCCTCGTACGTCCCGTAATATCCTCGCGTTCCATCGTTTTCGATGTTCTCTCTGACTTTTGCACATTTTAATGGCAATACTCTCGAGATTTTTTCTCCCGCTGATTACGCCATGCGCAGCCTATGAGCTAGACTAAAAATAATGCTGACAGCTCGCATTTATGATAACATTTCATTATATAAGGGAAGACTTAATCGCGTCTTATCGGGAAATGCGTGTTTTACTAATTAAGAATGATCTATGAGCTAGTATGCAAAGCAATTGGATGATTTGTTCTCACAGTAATGCTCTCGTGACCCTTCCCCTGTCGTGATAACTTGCACATAGAGCTAGGGTTAGCGATTCCCCTTTTCTTTCATATGCTTTAATTTTTTCTATATTTTTCTCTCAGAAAATTACATGTTTTACATAGGTATATTTTCTGCTTGTTATTTTATGTCAATGTAAATATCAAATTACATTCATTGGATAATTTGTAAGCAAGTGAACTTTGACCTAGAAATTTTGCTGTCAAGATACTAAAAGAGAAATAAACACTTCTTTTATTTTCAATTTGTATGTAATATTGTTAAATATATATTTTTGTATATGATTTCTTATTTTAATTTGTATATTGATATTAGTCTCTATATGATGTCATACTTGTGACATTTTTAGTTAATAAATATATCCTTTCCTTCTTTCACATGTATCTTCTTTTTATCACATTAGATTTACCAATATATATTTATTATAATGTTCTTACGATGTTTCAGTCAAAAATTGTGGAAGTTTATTACGCTCTCAGGTGAGGTTTAATTATACAGAAACTAGGAAGAATTTAAAAATTGATGCAAATACCAAAGTGATGTGTCAAGGTTTTACTGGAAAGCAAGGGACTTTCCATTGTCAGCAAGCACTTGATTATGGTACAAAGATAGTAGGTGGAGTTAGTCCTAAGAAGGCTGGAACAGAACATCTTGGTAAACCAGTATATAAATCTGTTAAGGAGGTAATACTACTCTTTTACAACATTTATTTATTTATCCGCTGATATTTAAATTGTTTGTGGTACTTTATAGGCCAAAGAAGCAACTGGGGCTACTGCAACAGTTATTTATGTTCCTCCTCCTGCTGCAGCGTCAGCCATTATGGAAGCAATTGATGCAGAAATGCCATTAATTGTTTGTATTACGGAAGGTATTCCTCAACATGATATGGTCAAAGTAAAAAGACGATTACTCGAACAAAATAAGTCACGTTTAATTGGCCCAAACTGTCCTGGAATAATAGCACCTGAACAGGTATAAAAATAATTTTTTTTTTAGACAGTACAAATTTATTGATAATTAAATATAATTCTTTCTTTCATATGTGATATTATAGTGTAAAATTGGTATTATGCCTGGTCATATACATCAAAAAGGAAAGATTGGTATTGTTTCGAGATCTGGAACCCTAACTTATGAGGCTGTGAATCAAACGACACTTGTAAGCATATTTAAAAAATTGTAACTTAAAAGATTGTATGTTCATAAAATGTCAAATATGGTAATAATAATTTTCTTTGAAGGCGGGACTTGGGCAAACATTATGTGTTGGTATTGGTGGTGATCCATTCAATGGTACTGATTTCATCGATTGCTTGGATGTATTTCTTACCGACCCAGATTGTGATGGTATTATAATGATAGGAGAGATTGGTGGTAGTGCAGAGGAATTTGCAGCAGAATATCTCATCGAAAAGAATACTGTTGGTTCCCGTTCAAAGTTATTGGTACCCAAATCCCAAATACAATCCAACCTAATCTAATCCTATCTTACCTTTGTCCTGGAAATCTATCATAAGATTAGTATGTTTTACTAATATTTTACTCACTAAATAGTAAGTACATGTTATGTTGTAGGGTGGAAAAGCTAAGCCAGTGGTATCATTTATCGCTGGTATTACAGCACCACCTGGACGAAGAATGGGACACGCTGGTGCTATAATCTCAGGAGGAAAGGGTGGTGCACAAGATAAAATTAATGCACTCGAAAAAGTGAGTCAAAATTTCTATTCATATACCATTAATGCTCATATATCATTAATGTTACACTTGAAATAATTTTTGGAATCAAGCAATATATATATGGGTTCTGTTATCAGGCTGGTGTAATAGTAACAAGAAGTCCTGCACAAATGGGTAATGAACTTCTAAAGGAAATGACACGACTTGGCTTAATTAATTAAATCACACACTACTATAATTCTGTGTAGTTTCCTTCATATCCGTGTAAAATGTCTTCGTGAAAAATAAATTGAAAGTATGCCATACAGCAATAACTCACAGAACACATAGTAGTGTATTAGAGCATAAAAATTATTTCACTTGCTAATATTACATTATTCTCAATGACATAGATTATTGATCAATGTTGAAGATTACATTGAAAATAATTGATATTTTTTAAAGAACTGGATTTATTTTAACAGTGAACAACTTTTATGATACTTTTACAGAATTAATTGTTATGTTAACAGTGACAAAACAATTGTTCAATAATAATTTACAAATTATCTAAGGGAACGTTAAAACTGCCAATGATCTGTTGCAATTTAACTAATTGCAGAGTAATTTTTTCTATAATATGTAAACATAGTTCTGAGGAATGGTTGTTTAGGTATATAATGTATTATTGTAAATTAAATCAAGCATATAATATATTACAGTAATGAATTTAAACTTTATGAAATGTATCATTGTAAAACATGTTAAGAATTCAAATATATATGTATAAATATTGCTGCTTGTTCCCACAACTATTTGATTTTTTTTTTAACATATAAAGTAGTCTCTTCCTATATTCACAATCAGTGGAAAGCAAAACTACCTCAACACTGTCATCTAAATCCCATTACTTTATCAATAAAATTAGCAATATCTGCACTTTTGTCATTGGTGAATGACTTTAACTTTGCGAAGTCCATTGTTTGTATGACACGCAACAAATTCTTACAAGTACAATAATACAAATGTTCATCTTTGTATAGCTGCTCAGCCAGTTCAATCTGATGATTATCCATGAGGAGATCATTGGTCACCACAATTAAGTGTTTGCATTTTTCCAAAGCTTCCAGCACGCTTCCTGCACCTGCATGGCTTATCACAAGGTCTGCCAGTTCTATATATTCTCCAATGGATGGACTTAATCTAAAAATTTCTATTTTATGGAAGCCATAACGTGTGGTACAATCTGGTTCCAATTTGCTATTGCCAATTTGCAAGATTAGATGCCTGTAATTATGTGCTGATAGGGCCTAGAATAGCAATATTAATTGTAAGTTTTCTAACAGATATATACATACAAATGCAATGAAGAACAGATGGTTAAACGTTACAGTATTCGAAAAAGATCCATATAAATAACGATAAAATAAGTTTATTCGCGTTGCTTGAAATCCTTAAAAAAAATTTGCACTTAAAACGAGATAAATATGTATTTGGGCATTCAACAGAAAGCAAAGATTCTGAATGCACAAAGTGTAAGCAACGCAAACAGATGTAATATAAATAATTGTCTATACTACCTCCAGAACTACAGGACTCAATACTGTAGTTATTAAATCATCAAATTTTGTTGTGCCAACTGTAACAAATACAGTTTTTTTATCTGACATAGTGTAATGTAGTATAGTTTCTTGTATCGAAATAATGGCTAATTATCCCTTATGTTTCCACTTTGGTAATTATTTAAAATGCTCTCCTCACCTCCAATCATAATAAAAATGTACTCATTCGATACGTTTTCACGCTGGCTTTATTCCTATAATCTTAAAACTGATTCTACCTTAGTTACATTGCAACGTCGCAAGTGTCGCGGGTTACGATCCAATTAGAGCACTATAATCATGGTGTAATAAAGAAGAGGTGTGTTCGTGAGGTACACTAAATTTTGTACGGAATCCACAGACGTTGCTCAAGATTCGAGATGGTCTTAAGCTAGTGCTTGAACCAATTAGAGAGCCGTATTAACATCTTAAGACTATTGCTGGATTCACACTGCATCCGATTTTCTTGGTACGACGACATCCGGACGATGAGAAAACAACAGATTTGTTATGGAAGAA